GAAAAATGGATACCCGCTAATAGTTAGGAATGGAATTAAAGTGAAGAATGAACAAGGAATATGTGATTGAAAAGGGTGAAAACAGTGACATGGAGTAATGTCGTGAAGGAAGTGGTAATGATTCAGTGAATGCTGCCAGTCCCTGTAGGTAACCAAGAATTTATTATGTCCGGTAGAAGCATACTCTTTTGGTGATCACAGTGCCATTGCCTTCATCGTTGCCTTCTCGTTTCGACAACTTCTTTGAACGTACAAGTTTGGCAATGAAAGTGGTTACTTTTCCGATAACGGTTGCCAGCAAGCTAAAATTGCAGACACATGTGTCGTATAACAGCATCTGCTCATTTTTGGGAAATACCTGACAACTGTTGACAGATTTGCCGGTGAATACGCACGGCGTTGTTGTGCTAAGGCTACAGAGTTGCCCTGCTAAAGAAATGCTCACGGTGGGATAATTCAGCCTGGGGATGAGGTGAAGACCTGAACTGAGGAAGAGTTGCCGTTGAGATTTCGCAGCATATGCTTTAAATGAATCGATTGTTCCCCAAGGCTTGTGGATTCAGATGATTGGCTGTTTTCATTTTATCCTGCGTCTACATAAAGCTATTTGCTGGATTAGCCTAATGCAGAATTGATATGCGTAAAGGCATTCATCCTGTGCCAGCATCAGGTACGATAGAACCTGTTCTGTTTGACTATTGTTGATTGTAGTAGTCTTGTTATAGGGCTTGAAACCAGTGGATATATAATCAGTGTCAAGCAGGAGATGACGGTAACTCTTCAGAAGCGCGCAACGACAAAAACGTGTATCGAGAAATACCTGTACGTGAATTTGTTTTTCATTTTAAACATGCATCGCTATATGTACAGAGCTATTTCATTCTACACAAATGCAATAACTGGAGGGTATTTAGAGATTTCACTATTTGTCTAGTCTAATATTCTTACATTCAAACTTTAACGTTATCGGTGATTTCGCGCAAAATAATCCGGTAATGGTACGTGAGCATATGTTATAAGGCGATGCTTGCAGATGTTTGCTGTGAGACTTACACGCTTGGATCTTGTGCCAGGTTGTCTAAATATAAATCCGGCGAGATGGTGTTCAACCATTGTTTTGACTCGATGCTCTTTCGACCTTCGAAAGTGGTGTCAGTTAGTTTGTGTACTGGCGAACGATGACAGTTCACCGTCTGTGAAAATGATCTATACCACA